GTTGGTCCCCCGGACCCATTCTCCTTTCATGAGAAAACTGGGCCCCTCGTGTTGCGGAGGGACTTTTGCATGGATCCTAGCGTGTCAACTTTTGCCGGAACATCCTTGATGGCTTTAAAGTGTTGTTTTTTTCCTGGTCCTAGGAACAGGAAGACTGGCGGAAACAAGACTCGTTGCGCGACAGTCTTCACCGGCCCCCGTCGTCCGCCCTGCCTTGTCGCGACAGACTCCGTGCCGTCGTCGCCTCCGTGGAGCCGATGTCCAGGTCCCTTCGCTGGTCCTGGTGAGGCGGGACGAGACGACCGCGACGACCGGAACGGAGATGGCGCGTCCGTTGTTGTTGGAGCGCAGATCGGCGGAGGAGACCGAACGAGATCGCAGGTGATGAGGTTCCCCCCATTTTCGAGTGCAACTATCGAGCTTGGGGGGAGTCCATATTTAGTTGGCTTCTGTTGAGCCCAGATTCCCAGAATTGGTTGAAGGGAAAATCGACAGAAAAGCCATCATTCTGGTGGTAAAACATGGGTGTCATGCAGATTATTCATTGACAGATATGATCGACCATAGAACTTTCTTTGAGGATGCTTTTTCTATTATGTTTCTTGGATGCTTGTTTGAAAAAGGGTTGAGGGTGTTTGGATTGAATTGGAAATAGAACTAACCCATGTCCACTGAACGGTTGCCAAACAGAACACATTTCATTGCTCTTTGGACATGCGCACCACAGCAATTGTGGGCGTCTCTCCCATTTTGCGGAGGCCCATGAACTTGCGGAAGAGACCCTTGAGATCCTTATGTCTTTTTGCATTCTTGGCAGGCAAGGCCCACCATCTTTCATCGGCTGCTCGAATCAGATTTTGCTTGCTTTAGCATCGGCTGCGTATTCGAGCAGCTTTCCGTTTCTTTTCCAAGATCAAAACGTGTTTGCAATATGTTGCTTGTACAGGTGCCTAAGAGGCATCGATCTGGTCGACGGTCTATTTGATAAGCGTACCTGCGTGATCCCCTAACCACTTGGACGATACCTTTCCTTTGCTCCAGCTTACAGCAACGCAGTGGTAGGGGCCTCCATATCTATACCGGTGTGTCAAGCTAGAGTACACTGGAACAAATGCAAGGGAATCGGAATTGGATGCGTGATAGATTCTGGGCAAATTCGAGCAGGCAATGCCTTCCTCCTTCTTATTCATCCAGATGTGCCAGATGCCTAGCATTTCGAAGGACGACGGCAAAAGCCGGTCCTGCAGAGGTCGTGGAGAATGGTGGGTTGCATTGGTTTCAATACAGAGATCAGGTACACGTGCGGTATACGCAATATAATATATAGTATATAGTTATATGGTATTTACATATCAGTTAATGATGTTATATACACCGGTGAAAACTAACATTTTCGCCAACAACTATATCTTTTTTGGCATATGTTAGTCTAGTTTCCAAGCGGACACCGTTGAGACTAACCTAGACCAAATTCAGATGTGCCATGGTGGGCCCTACGGGTACTTGGCATGGTCCATGTTAGCCTCCACCGGGCTATGTTGATCTTTACCGGCGCGGTCTATGTTAGCCTGCGTTCAGTTTATAGTCAGATTGCAGTTGGTCCATGTTAGTGTCAAAATCGATCATAGACTGAGAGTGGGAACGGTCCATGTTAGTGAGAGTCCAGAAATTGCCAAAAAAAGCGCTAATACCGTTTCCCCAGGAAGTCGCCGTTTCCAGTGGTCCATGTTAAAGCGCACTTGAAATTGAGTTCTGGTCTATGTTGTTTTTCCCCGGAGTATATATATATATATGCACGTGTATACTATCCACCCTTTGCTCTGGTTTGTTTTAATGCTGCTTTTCACACTGGCTGACATTCCTCGGACTCTGGTGCCCAACTGGTCCATGCTGATTCAGTTTCATTCAGTTCCTAAATGTATACAGTACTATATAGTACTATAATACTGTATAAACCTACCTGGTGGTTGAAACATGTTTGAGTCCTTGAGCGTACGTGACACATGAGTTTGGAGGTTAAACACTCTCAACCAATCACCACTTCGTTTGATGTGTCTTCACACCACTCCTGCAAGTCACTGGTCTTTCGGTGCTTTTGTTGGGATCTCTACTGGTTGGTCTTGGTGTTTTTGGGATCCAACGGCGAGACTTGGCGGCGCAAGAGAACTCCGCGCCACCCAGGCGCAGCGCCTGGCTGGGGCACTGGCCCCGTCAGCTGGGTGTCGAACGCCCAAGATCGGGGCCGGTTGGGGGTTGGAGGGCCGGTCGTGGCTTTAAACCGAGAGTACACGGTTGATATGAAACAAACCTGTAGATAATAATAGCATAAAGCATAATAATGACCTATAGTTGATGACAAACAACTTGGACATGAGAAGAGTGCCCTTGCATGAATCTCGACTTGGCTGAGAAGCCTGATGCTTGAAGTTGCTATAGGACTTGTAGGACATTCTATTTTTGCATACTGAGATGGCTTGCGGTCGCTTTTTTTGCACACACAACAGGAGCTAGAGCTTTGCTGTTCCAAGCAGATCACAAGACTGATACTGTAAAAGGTCATCATAGAATCCACTATTGACGTTTAAGAGTATCTTCCAAATTTCTAGCCATCGAATAAGCAACCACGCAAACGCAAGGATGAATAGAAACCCACCAGACAACAGCCCAGCAATAGACACCAGATGACACCAGTGCCAGAAGAGACCGTCAAGCAAGTAAGATCCCTGATGAGGCGCCCGCATGCATTCAGGCCAAACTCTTGAGTTTCTACGAGACGCCCACATCTTAGAGATGTCCGGTCGAACGAAGAAGGGCGGGCGCACCCTTCACGGCATCGACGGGCAGAACAGGTATTCGACTCAAGTAAACTTGCACGGTGCCTGTTGCGAAAGAGCAATGTGTTTGGATGGACGCGGACGCTGCACGTGTGAGGAACATGGTGTCCGCGTTTCCCGAGCATGCGCAGAAGTTCTTGTTTGGGCCACAGCTGATTCAGCCGGAAACTGCGAACAAGCAAGCACCGGCGTCAGCCAAAGACCAGGGCACAATTCGTGAAGGTTGCAACAATAGCTGAGAGTTGTTGTTGACCCTTCTATCAAGCACCCATGCAGTTCCAACCAACATATGTCAGGATGGCTGGACGGGATGGTATTTTTGTGTGATGTTTGAGGATAGTGGTAAGTTCATGTAAGTTCTTGTTCTTGTGAGACTGGATGCCACTCTATGACTAGTAGTGCAAGAGAGGCTCTATGTGAAGTCTCACGTCGGAAAATGAACCACAGACATCACCAGACCCAGTGGTTTGGTTTTCGGATGGAGAAATATCGGGAAATCTCGGCTCAGGAGGCTGATTTGTTTCTAAAGGGATGGGAGCAAAAACTCTCCGACTCTCCGACTCTTTGGTTTGGAGGGTATTGATGCATATAGCATGTTGCAATAGAAGCGATGGCCTCCAACCTACTAGCGATGGCCTCCAACCTACTAGCGATGGCCTCCAACCTACTAGCGATGGCCTCCAACCTACTATCGCCTAGTAGCAATGGCCTCCAACCTGCTAGCGATGGCCTCCAGCCTAATAGCCATGGCCTCCAACCTACTAGCGATGGCCTCCAACCTACTAGCGATGGCCTCCGACCTACTAGCGCCTAGTAGCAATGGCCTCCAACCTGCTAGCGATGGCCTCCAATCTAATAGCCATGGCCTCCAACTTACTAGCGATGGCCTCCAACCTACTAGCGATGGCCTCCAAACTACTAGCGCCTAGTAGCAATGGCCTCCAACCTGCTAGCGATGGCCTCCAACCTAATAGCCATGGCCTCCAACCTACTAGCGATGGCCTAGCGATGGCCTCCAACCTACTAGCGATGGCCTCCAAACTACTAGCGCCTAGTAGCAATGGCCTCCAACCTGCTAGCGATGGCCTCCAACCTAATAGCCATGGCCTCCAACCTACTAGCGATGGCCTAGCGATGGCCTCCAACCTACTAGCGATGGCCTCCAACCTACTAGTATCCTCATTCTTTTTTGGAGGTTTTTGGAATAGCCTGACACCGAAAGCACCGAAAATAGGCCCTGGCAGTTGGTCCAGTGGCTTCAGCAGGCGAAGTTGGGCGGGCGCGTGGCAAGGCGCCGAAGCCGACAGACACCAGAGATCTCGAACGGGGGCAATGGGATCTCGCCTCCAACACCTGTGTGTGTGTGTGTTTTTAAGGGGGTCTTTGTTGGCACCTGTAGCTAAGAGGAAGAGTTGAAGCTCGTGGCGCCCGTTGGCACTTTTTGTTCACACCGGTGGTGTTGTATCAACTATGACCTCAGTTCCAGGGCACCTGTGATGGTCCGGGTACCTTGACTTTTTGGACTCCTATGGAGGTCCTCTGTGAGAACTGAGCTCTCCATCTGCATCAGGGGCAACTGGCCGAAGCCTTGGCTTCCGACTGGCTGGTGGGCCTCTATGAGGCACAACGCGGCATGTTTGGATCTTTGATGATCTACACTTTGGACGTTTTACATGGGGCATACTGTGTTT